AGGACAGTAAGTGAAATTGGTTTTCTTCCTAAGTGCTTTTTGATAACCCTATCTTAATACATGCTGATGTACCAGCAGTTTTACTACTTTGTGCTATTAAAAAAAATTGTTAGGGACAAATTCCAAATAATCTTAGTATTATGAAGTTATATATTATATATTTATAAATTGTATGTTTAGATATTTCATAATATAAATATATAAAATACATTTGTTTAAAATTATACTATGAAATTACTTTTTTTAAATCTCATAAGCCTCCTGAAATAATCTCCCAGATCCCCAGTGGTCCACTGATCATGCTTTTATAGAAAATAGTTTATTTATTTCATTTATGAGTGTGGCAGATAGGTAGGGGAAGAGCCTGAGATATAGTTGGATATTCAGCCATATTGATGGGAATTAAAATAAGAATAGACAGTGAACTAGGACTTTTGACCAAGAATGAACTTCTTCAAGCAACATGGAATGCAGCCCATTCTCTCCTAAAGGTAGTTGCAGCCTATCCGTACTAAGTTCCTGAGTTCTGAGGAAATTATATTGCAAACTAACCAACTTTTTTCTAAGATCCCAGGTTTCTGTAAACTCTACATGTTGAAGAACTGATTGAGAAGTCTGAGTTCCTATTGGTTATTTTAAATCCACTGAGCCATCTGTGGTAAGTGACCACTAAACTGAGCAATTCCTGGGCTCTGCATATCTATAACTATCTCTGGATTGAGAGGCCATGTGTCTTCCCACTTGGGACCTCTTCTGGAAACCCAGGAGCTATTCTTATTATTGTATCTAATAAAATTCCTCTAACCTCCTCTTTTGGTTTGTGACTTCATTCCTCAGTGTTTGTGGAACTATGAACTTGGTCCAGACATATGATATTTTGGTGTTTTAGACTGGTGTATCTTTTTCTCTACATGCACTATCCTTAGAAGCATTAAGCCCCAGCAAGGGAGCCATAAGAGAGGAGAGAGGTGGCTACAGAAATCAGTTTGCATTAAAGTTAGCCATGGACAAAGAGGGTTTGAAAGAATTCAAATGCTAACAAATGCTAATGAGGCTGCTGGGAAAAATGAACCCTTCTATGTCATTGATGTGAGACAGGAAATTAGAGCATGGCAAAGCTCCCTGGGGAAATAGGTATGACCTGTTAATTACAAAATCTCAGGACACATGCACAGAACAGTTCCTAAAGCCCTGCACATGGGCTTCTCATGAGAATTTGAGCAGGTTTTCTTTTTTTCTTTTTTGGTACCGGGGATCAAACTTGGGTCCTTGTGCTTGTGCAGCAGGTGGTGAAACCAGTGAGCTAAATCCCCGGCCCATCAAGCAGGTTTTCAACAGGATGGCCTAGGCTTGACAGGAGCCCTGATTGATCTAAAGAAGACAAAGATGGGTTTTGTTTGGTGAACCATCCACTTTTGATAGTCTGAAAGTACACTACAATAACACAATGGAGCTATACTGAGTGGCTGAAGGTAATGTCCATGGAGGGTCGTACATCATGCCATGCTATACCATGCTATAATGTCCAGGGGTGGACAGCACATCACTGCTGTGCCATGTCATGCCACTGCTTTGCTGGAATACAGCTTCTAGTGATCCTAAATCCAGCATCTGTAAAGAACTCCGACCAGTAATTTTGGTGGAAGACCTCCAAAATGATATAGGGGGAAGAGATGTAACTCCTAAACCTACTAGATATCCAAAACGCGAGTTCGTGTTCTCTAAAATTGAAGAATGAATTCTAGGAACAACAGAAGATAAGAGTAGAAAAAATTTATTGGGAGAAAGAAAGCTTCTGCCTAAGAGAGAAAGAAGGGAGACCAGAAAGTGGGTTGCCCTAATAATTTGTTTTCTATTATTTGTACACCTTCAAACGATCTTAAGTTATATATGCATACATGATATCTTTCTTGAGGTCAGAGACTGTTTCTAGGTTGATCTTGGGCTAGTGGAGCTGATTCTAACAGAACTGCCATTTAAAAGGGTATTCTAGGCCCATTTATTTTACTGTACAGTTTTTTAAACAATGTTGATACATCCCCACTCAAATGAGGAATCATTACCTGTATGACAGAAATGACAGTGACCGTAATGCTGACCAGAGCTTAACTTTGACTCTTCACCAGTTTTGGTCACTTCACTACCTTAAATATGCTGAGTTATATTCCTTCCAGTACAATGCTTAGCCAGAAATATAACTCTTCAATGATTTTGTCACATAAAAACTAAATCAAAAGTCAAAACCATAAAATTGTAAAACAAAAATTCAATTTTACAGTCTTAGGTTACCCAGTAATCAATGCTATATATAGCTATCAAATATGTTGATTAATGTACCTTTGAAATGCATTAACTTTATTTTATTACATAAGGATTCAAAATTCAACATATAAATACAAGATGAGAGGGAAGCTAGAAATCTCAGGAGAAGCATTTGTAAATACAATAAGATATGAGCACAACACTTGATTAAAAATTATAGAAAAATAGTGGGGCTGGGGATTTAGCTCAGTGGTTCCTCTGTCTGCCTCATAAGCACAAGGTCTGGAGTTCAATTCCTGGTACCAAAAAAAACTAGACAGTGTATTCTACTGTAATAGTTATTTTCCTCCCTGCCTAGAACATAAAAGGCAGTACTGCAGTTTTGCCAGGAATGCTACCTTAAAGGAGTAGCAGAATGGACTGCCTCTTCCTTCCAAAATTATGCCTTGTTTTTCCAATGAGGAGAAATACTGAGTGTGATTAATATTTATTGTTTTTATTAGCAGTGTTTAGCTAAGTTTACTGAAGGCACTGAAGTGTGGCTTTAGGAGCTCTTTGGAAGAGACAATATTCTTTTCTTACTACAAAATATTCATAGTATACTTACCTGGAAGTTTTTAAATGCAAGTTTGTCTGAATCTACTTTGAACTAAATGGCTTGGTAAATTGAATTGGGAAAAGACTGTTTCCACTTTCTACTACACTGAAATGTTCATGTCAAATGGCTCCTAAATACACAAGTCAAAAAATACTGCAGTATCCTAATGAAAGACTGAGCAATGGGGAATAAATTAGCATTTACAAAAACCTTTTAGTGCTAGGTGTTCATTTTATACAAGTCTGAGAATGACTATGTAAGTATCTCCACTTTCAAAATGAGGAAAATAAAGCCACAGAGATATGTGCAGCATAACCAACTCATCTAGCAGGCCAATTCAGAATCCAAACCTTTGTCTTTCCAATGACAAACACTTTGTGCAATAGTCATTTTTGTAGTTTATAACACTTGGGATAAACCGTATCTTGCTCCTTCTCTCTGCATTTTTAAGACACTTTTTTCCCCAAATTATTTAGATTTGTGAACTTCTGCTTTTTGTCCTTTTCTGATTACACCCTTAAATCTTAGTAAGTTCACTGATTCAGAATATAAAATTTATCTCTTTTTTTTTTTTGCTTTTTAAAAATCTCTTTATTAATTTTACACATTTTGAAGGTAGGTCAAAATTACCCTCTTGTTGCACATGAGGAAGAGGCACAGTGAGCATAGTGACTTTTCAGGTTACAAAGAAAATGAAGATGAAACAATGAAAATTGAAATTCAGATTCAGTGGTTAATGTGTCATGCATGCATCCATGCAAATCCAATTACAGAGCAATGCCTAGGTAACATTTGGCTTAGAAAACGTGTTATTTTATGTGAATAAAGTATTTCACTAAGCCTATGGAACCGGAGCATGGAATGGCCCTCTAATAGCATCTAACACACCTCCCTGGTGATCCTCCTGCCTCAGCCCTCCAGAGTTCTGGGATTACAGGCATGTGCCACCATGCACAGCTGGTTTAGAGCAATCAAGTGAATACAGAGCCTTATTAACCCTAAAACTCAACTCAGCTGACACCCAGTATCTTATTTTAACAATCAGTTGTATTCCATAAAGGAACTATCATACTTAGAGGTCATTTGATACAAAATATATGACATCTTAATCATATAAAACAAAATATTTATAAAACAAATTGGGATTAGTGCTAGCAAACCAGAAAAATATGTATATAAAGAAAGTGGAAAATGAAGAAAGTCAGAGTGTATAGGCACATGTAAAACCTACACTTATCTTCTCTGAAATACTTAATTACAGCTATATTTGTGCTTAGCAGGTGTTTTATATTAAAAATAGAAAATTTCATAAATCATGTTCTCATCACCATACCCTTTCCCTTCCTCTGCCCAGATCAGAGTGCTTTTAATTTGGGGATCATAAATGTGCAATAGAATATACTGTTCCCCTCTTTTAAAACTTTTAAGTCATGGTAGTCATGAGTGCAGAAGAATGTGAATATACTTAATGCCAAAAAACTACATTTTTTACATGGTTAAAATAAAGTTTATGTTAGGTATATTTTATCACAAAAAGCAGTAAGTCTTTAAAAAAGGTAATTTAGCCCAAGCACCTATGTTTTTATGCTTACCCAAGTACATCGCCTAACATTTGGCATGTAAGCTAATCATGACAGAGCAAGAAATGCTATGTTTATAAGCATGTGGGAGTCAACTGTATCACTTACTACAATGTGAATATTGGATGTGTGTGTAGGCCTCTGAAAAGATGCGAGGAGACAGCCTTGACTTACCTTGAAGGCCCTAAAGAGAAAAACAGATGGGTCTTTAATAGCAGTTTTTCATAACCTCAGAAAATTCTACAACCACTAAAGTATAGTGCTTTAGTTAAAAACTTTCTACTGAAATGCTTATACCACTGATATATTTCTATATCCGCATTGGCCAACTCATTATTTAAGTGACCCACCCCTGAACTACCTTCATAGTTTTCATAAGCTGGTCATCACACTGGTAAGCAAGTTATTACATAAAACATAAAACACACTTGCAGGAGCTGTTTGCTAATGAAAAAGTCTTTAACACTCACGAATTTCTTAGTCTTTTCGTTTGTTTTCCAATTTATATCAAATGATGCCTTTTTCATTAAAAGCTTCTGTGCTCATCTTTATTCAGAGTTTTAATTATCAGTATTTAAGTATCTTGATTCTCCATGCTTCAAGACAAAAAAAACTTCAGTCTTAAGTCCATATCTTTCCAAAGCTTCACTCAGTTTCACTGGAGGCTCTAAGTAATGACGACAGCACTTCCCCTTCCAATATCTGAATCGCATTCATGTCTTCCAGCTCTCGCTAACAGGCAAATCACCTCGAAGGGGACAGCACGGTGGCTCCTTTTTCAACTCCTGAAGCTCATATGCTAAGGCAAAAGTTCCCCAGTGAATGGCCACAGATTTCTTTGCTTGAACGTCAGTGTGAATCCTTATGGCTTCTTCCGGGTCTACATGCTGGTATTTCATAAACCACCTTGGCTCGTAAGCTCCAATGGGAATAGCTGCAAGGTCAAAAGGTCCAAATCTCTTTCCTATCTCTTCAAACTCAGAGCAATAACCAGTATCTCCTGCAAAAAAAAAATCGATTCCAAGGCCCCAAGACAGACCAGCCGCCCCACAGAACCTTGTTGTCATCCATGAGAGTCCTTTTGCACCAGTGCTGCGAAGGCGTGAAGACGAAGGTGACCTGGTTGTGGCCAGGGACACAATTCTCCACCCACCTGTCCAGCTCAATGACGTTCTCACAGCCACACTTTTGCATCCAGTCAAGGAGACCCAAAGGCACGAACCACCTCAGTTCATTTCCAAATCGCTCGTTCAAGGCAACAACAGAGTTGTAGTCCAGGTGGTCGTAGTGGTTGTGACTGATGAGGACGGCATTTATCCGGGGGAGTTCCTCTATCATGCACGGGGGAGGACGAAACCGCTTTGCACCCAGGTACTGGAATGGAGAGGCGCGAGAGCTGAAGATGGGATCTATGAGGAAGATGAGCTCATCCGTTTCGATGAGCAGTGTTGCATGGCCCAGCCAGGTGGCCCGTAAGCCTGCCTCCCGCACTCTGGCTTCTCCAGGGTCGTCAATAAAATAGAGTTTAAGCACTGGGAGCTCTTTGTCAAGTTCCTCTTTGCAGCTCGGAACGCTGCTGTGATTCTTCTCCGTGATTAGCCACTTGAGAGCATTGGAAAAGGACGGATTCCTCCATGTGGGCCACGGGTTAACAAACCTCCCATCTTTGCCCTTCTTTGATTTAGTTACATCTTCCTCTAGTCTGTAATCCAGCTTGAAGCTTTTCTTGGACAACTTAGAAGAATCACTTTCACCAGAATCCTGTGCTGAATTTTGTCCTTTTTGTACTGCATCATCGGGACACCGGCCGCTTGTCATCCCTGACTCGTTACTTTCATTTTTATCCATGTCCATTGGTGAAGAAAGTTTATAGATGTTTCAGTGCATAGTTGGCTGGTTTCAAGGGAGGGCGGCATGACAGAGGGGCATCAAAGAGGAGAAACAGTCCATGCCAGGCAGACAGGCAGGAGGCAGCCTAAAATTTATCTCTTGATCTCGTCTTCCTCATTTTGAGTCAAAGACTAACATGGATGGTCTTTGGTATCATTGGAATAATATTGTAGCCAAAGTGTAGTATCAGAAAGATTCAACATGTTAGAGTTAAAAGATGTCTTAGAGATGATTTGATATGAAATTATATTTGCTTCTCAAGGAATGAGAAGCTGAGACTCAAACTTACATGTAAATTTGAATATAAGCACAGAATTAATAAGAATAAGAACCACAATTAAAGCCCAGCTCACACTTATATTGGTATTTTCATGCTGAGGCTCTGAGTAGTCTTACAGCTGGAGTTATTTTACTGTCTTTTATATTCCTGTACAAGTTTGAAGATATCTGCTCAAATTAATTAGTAACATTCTCTCTAAAAAAACAAAACCAATTTTAACTCTTTCTAATTTAGGAATTTAAATGGGATCACTGAGTGGGGCTTTGTGTGTTTGTGTGCTTTGTGATTAGAGTAAATTGATTTTAACAGAAGTCTTATTTTTATCAGGTTGAAATTTAAAGTGATTTGATATTACTCATTTAAACAATGTTCTCTGCATTCAATTGATACTCCATTATTGTCACTTGATGTATCAATATGATTGTGCCCCCATGCCCAAATATATGCAGAATATTTTTAACTAGTTGAAAAATGAGTTTTCTGCTACAAAAAAGGAAAATAAATCTAAAATTATCTCTGTGGAAAGTTATTCAGAACTGTGAGGAATTACTTCATTTTTGTGTTCAAACACATTCACCTAACAATACATTTGCCTATTTAGTGGAGAATAAATTTTTATTCATTTTTTTAACAGATACTGAATTGCATTTGAGAAAACAAACATTCACACTACACAAAGTTGAAAATTACTAATTTCTCAGTCACATAGATTTCTTAGAACATTGAATACTTTGTTATTCCTTCCTTTAGCAATAACATTGCAAATTGAGCTGTTAAACTGATTCATGCTTAGACTAGCAAAAAAAAAAAAGGCAGTAAGTGGCTCTGAATCTTTCATAAATGCGGCAGAAAAGATTTCAGTCTGTGCTTACCCCTTACACCTGCTATTTTGTGTCATAATGCATCATTACATACTGATGTTTGCTCTTGTGCAAGTCAGCAAAAAAAGAGATTGCACCGTGTGTATTGGCTTTTTTCCTTGAATTAACTGTGTCACTTTTGATTTGTTATGTTATTGAACTGCGTCTCAGTACTTCTTCACATTGACAGCTATGGCACAAATATACGTAGTCCTCCCCAGAGCATTGCTATATTTTTATCTACACTCTGAACATTTTGGACATTTGTAGTCAGATAAAATCTATTTAAATATGATATAAAATAACATTCAAGAGGGGAAAAATTGATGATGTATAATCTAAAGAGTGTGTTTTATGTAGTCATTCCCTCATGGAAATTATAATAGAAAGTGAAGTGATTTTGTAGACTCAATAGTAAGACAAATTGAGAAAAATTTTGAGTCTAAAAATTATCTCAGATGTTATATAGCATAATCATTCTTTCCTTTTCATCCTCAATTTTCTTCTCAAACAGGTAGTACCAGTGATCAGTCTACCTTTTGCTCAAATTCTTTCATTGATGAAGACCCCACTGCCTTCAAGGACACTCCTGACTGTTGAATATTTCCCCATTGTTCAAATATTCTACATGTAGTTTCATCAGAATCTTGCTTTGGGTTGATTCTTCAGATGTTAGAGATAAGAAAGTGTTGTATTTTATTTCCTGTCCATTTAACCTATTGTAAAAAATGACTAAAAATCATATAGTCTCAAAAATCTCAACTTTTCCTGTTACCATTTTATTGCTTATACTCATAACTAAATTAGGACTTGTTTTGGTTTTAAAAGTTTGGATTTCTGACTTTTATATTTTGTTTCTTTTCTCCTCTGCCTTCCCTTTTCCCCCGTAGTGGACAAACTACATTCATAGGTGGCAGGATCATTGGGTAGTTTTGAAAAATAATACTCTGAGTTACTACAGATCTGAAGATGAGACAGAGTATGGCTGAAGGGGATCCATCTGCATTAGCAAGGCTGTGATCACGGTGAGTTCCTATTTCTCTTCAACAAGGATTCATTGAGCATCACCTATAGTCAGGAACCATATACATCTGTGAACAAAATGAAGATCCATGCTTTTGTGGAGCATATTTTCTAATACTTTTTTTTTTCTTTTTGGTACCGGGGGATCAAACTTGGGACCTTGCACTTGCGAGGCAGGTGCCGGGACTGCTGAGCTAAATCCCTGGCCCTCTTACACTTTTTTCATCAGTTATTTTGGAGTGCTGATCACTATGTAGTGTTATTTTGTATAGGTATGCAATATTTCATATCCAATTAAATTGGGACATTTACTTCATAAGTTATGGAAAGAGTTAAATCAGGAAAATCATATAAAATTTGCATCTTATTTTCAACTTAAAATATATAAATATATATTCATTTGCCAAGTTTTTCACGTTGAGCAAATGTCATCTTTTGTGATGCTGAGAATTGTTACTGTGTTAACTGTATCCATAATTATGTACAGTCTACAGTTTCCAGTTTTGCTTCCCCTAAATCGGAGTAAGAGTTTAAAGATACTTTTGAAAAACTGATTCTGGGCTCTTTCTGTGATGTTCCCTAACATTTTGCAATTGTGTCACCTTTATCTAATGTAACACCTTTTTTTTTTTTTTTGGTACCCAGGATCGAAATCGGGTCCTTGTGCTTGCTGCTTGTGCAGCAGGCCGCGAAACCACTGAGCTAAATCCCTGGCCCTAATGCAACACCTTGTAAAAGAATAACTCACTTTTGAGTCATTCTACTTAGTTTACATTCAACTCTGGACTGCAGTCCACAGACTTAATGTAATTCATTTGTGTAAGAATAAAAAGTGAACTGGCCTAAACAGGTTTGGGAATAACAACTGACTTGTTTAGCATGTAATTCAGTTATACTGGGATTAGGAGTGTTTGATTATGGTTGGATGGAGTGGCTCATGACTGTAATCCCAGCATTTTGGGAGCCTGAGGCAGGAAGATTCCAGGTTCAAACCCAGCCTGAATAACTGAATGACTTGGCATGACCTTATCTCAAAATAAACAATTTTTAAAAGATTTGGAATGTAGCTCAGTGCTGAGGTGCTGGGTTCAATTCCCAGCACTGAAAAAATGAAAAGTTCTTAATTGTAACAAAAATAGTTGTTAGTTGAGAGTGGCCAGAATGCCATATTCATATTTATATTTAGTAAAGGCCTAAAAAAATATTGGCTAAGGTAGGACAGGTAAATGAAGATAGATCAGTTAAGGGAGCTATTGTAGTTAATATCTAACATTGGGTATGCTAAAATAAAAGTATACATTTTATTCACCCATTCAAAGAGAAAGCACATTTTCCAATAGAATTTATTTTATTTTGCTTATGAAAGTAAAAGGTATACTTTGGATTTGTGACTATTTGTATCTCATTTATGTCATGCATTTAAGGAAAATCTTACAGAATTTTTCCATCATTTTTTATACATTTGATATATTCAAGTTTGAAAAGAGAAGCTTAGTTAGATATCAAGTTGGAAAAGCAGGAATTGTTTGGAAGCATTAAGCTACTATTCTTCATTCTAGGGACAATTTTAAATAAATATTTTGAACTTAAAGCTCAATATTTACTTTGATGTGTGGTAGATTATGGTGTGTTTTGATATATATTTATCCAGTCTAATATTTTCAAAGTTTTTCTCTTGGGCCGAGGATTTAGCTCAGTGGTTCTGCTGCCTGCTTTGCAAGTGCAAGGTCCCAAGTTCGATCCCTGGTACCAAAAAAACAAAACAAAACCAAACAAACAAAAACAACGTTTTTCTCTTTTAAGATACATCATTATTCATATCGGGATAGAATAGTGGATGGAAATATAGTTTATGATCTTGAAGTGTCTTTCCACGGGTTCTTCCCTGCTCCCCTTCTTTTGCATATGTCAGGTACATATTAATTGTAGTAAATGACTCTTTGAAAATAATATGTTGATGATTGATGTCAAAAGGGGAGGGAAATAAATATTATCTTTATCGTCTCCTAAGTAGTAGTATTCCTAGAGTACCATGCTCGTTTCTGTGGATTTAAATATAGTTATCCTGTCTTGAAATATTGGTAGTAGTAATAGTTCATGTCTTATTTGAAGAAAAGTGTTTTTTTGGTACCGGATATTGAACTCGGGACCTTGAGCTTGCAAGGCAGGTGCCAGAACCCCTGAGCTAAATCTCCAGAGTCAAAAAAGTTTTAATAAACATTTTCATTGCATCTGCGGGGTAGAGAGCATTATGTTACTTCATTGTAGATTTTTTGTGTGTGTGATAGTTATATTTGTATGCAGAACTTTCAGTTTGTTATATAGTTATAAGGAATGGGTAGAAAAGTGGGATTGTTTGAATACTTTGGAAGGAAAGATGTATAAGTGACTAGTGGGAATATATTAAAAACATTTCTTTCTAGTAAAAAAAGAAAATCAGCTCGATTGTTTGGGTCACCTGCACTTCAATTTGATGAAATTGAACTGACAAGGGACTTGGGAGACAGCGTTGAGGAGCTCAGGCCAGAGAGGGGGCGTGTGCCAGGGAAGGAGGAGGCGGGAACTTGCGCGTGGGAGGGGGCGCGCTCAGCCGTTGCGGTCCCCTCCCCCCTAACGGTGGCCCATAACGGTGGCCATGAGGGAGGCAGGCAAGGCATGAGGCTGCGCCGGGAAGTGACCCGCAGCCTCCAAACAGGGTCTGGGAGGACATAGTAAAGGGCGCGAGTAAGAAGCGCAGAGGCGGAGTCCGGAGCCGCTCTTGACCTCCGCGCCTGGGTAGCCCGAGCTAGAGAAGC